GATCAGTTTCAGCAGGAGCTAGTTCTCAGAGCCACCCCGGGACAGTTTGGATGTGCAGAGGTCACGTCCACTGCCGGTTTTAGTTTTTAGGTTTTGTCCGTATGTCAAGGTTTGAAAAGACATTCTCATTAACTAAAGGAAAATATCATTTCTTCAGTTAATTCAAATCAAAGACCTACTCAGTAGCGATTGTGCTTTTAAAGCTAGCTACGTACACGGATAGCGTAATGCTGACTAGTCAGACTCCAGCTACACACAAACTGGCTGAATCAGCGCAGCTGCAGTCTGCAGGTCGACTGGTCCATCAGTCGTCCAACACGCTCTCATCTACCACATCCTCCCTGATCGGACCGTCACTATTGTTATTTTTATCAGAAGAAAAGCACTTCATGAATCATCCGTCACGTCTGCAGCAGGAGGAACAAACTGCCGTGTTTTCACACCGTTAAACTCATAAATGACAGACACCATGTCAACGTGGCTGCGTTCTGTTAAAAGCTTAAAGTGAGAGTCAGCTTTACAAACAGCAGCTTAGACACCACAGCTCAGCAACAACCAGGACATTATCCAGCCGCTGGGCTAACTTCTCTGTGGTATATTCTTATTGTTCTTGTGTCGGGATCACGAGGTGCTAAAGCTCTATTTACAGAAATCATATGAACGCAGACAGTTTCAGACTGGGCAGCTCAGAGTCGACTGTTGTCACATCAGTATAAAATAATCCAGTGTGTCACACATACAAGCTATTTCTATGTATTTATACTTCCTTCAGCCAGGCCTCAGTGATTAATCTGGAGCAGGTACGAACATCAGCCAAACAAGTTTTCCTTTGCTTCACTCCAACTTTATTAATCACACAAACAGCATTTGCGCTAAATCGCTCGTCAGCTTTCACACCTGCTAATCTCCACATTATGTTTTCTTTTCTGTTGTCCGACAGATTATATAGAAACTAGACAGGAAGCACACATGACAAAACATGAGTAAGCCCTCGAAGCAGCAGAGTCATACCAGATGGACACTAATCCAATTAGTCACAAAGCCAGCCAGACCTCGGTGCTTCTAGCTCATGAGGCAGCCATGCTCGCTACAAGATTCATCTTCTCAGATTGGACAAAACATCAGCTTTCTGAGGGAATCTGACTGAAATAACACGAGACAAAATCACTGAGAACCAACAGGAAACATCACCAAATCCGCTTGGGCGTCTGCAGCAGACCCAGAAATGCAGTGGAACACTTCCAGGCAGGCCAGTCTGATGCCAAAACTCACAAAACCCAGTAGCGCTCGCATTCTCATTTAGCAGAAAGAGCATTAAAAGCCTGTGTTGGCCCACTGTGGGGAAGCAGGCTGTGCTAACCAAAGCCACATAAGGTAATAGCTGCTGCCCGGAGGGCCGGGGAGGGGACAGGCCGTCTTTGTCATGAGGGAACAACGGCGACCCAACAAGTGAAGGAGTGGCCGCTGTTGTTAATGGAGTGAATCAGCACTGCTGAGAGTCCATCACTCAACAAGAGCTCCTTCATTACAGGCTCCACAAGTCTGATCAATGCAGCCCCGGCAGTAAACAGCAAATATGAAATGAAAGGAGATTAAATCAGATTGATGGAGCAGACGGATGCATTATGCTGTCATCATTACAGCACATCTACTTAACCTTATGGATCTCCTGGGCCCGTGGTAAAAACCTGAGATAACACTGTGAACAACAACCATGTGGCTGCCGGTACTTTCTCTGATTACAAAGTGCTCATCATGTGGCCAGAAGCTGCAGAGACTTGAACATACCGACAGCTCTGGTATCTAAAAAACCCTAAAATCCAACCACCGACCTGCCAAAGACTGAATCACACGATGCTCGTGTGTCAGCACAAACATAATATCAGCACATTCCTGCAGCCACAATAACTCTCATTATCAGACGTTAAAGATGTGTTTTGTTGTCATTCAGAGCAGAGACACAGGAGACATGTGACTTTCGTCAGACACACTGGTCTTCTGAAGTGTGCACTCGCTCCACTCCAAATCATAAAGAAAGATTTCTGCTCTTGCTCCTCGCTGCAGCCTTCAAGATAGTTGTATTTACTTTATTTTCTGAGGTATGTGCCGCCACTTCTCACACAACCCAGGATTGTGTTTAAGTAGTTAACTCCCCAACCCATGCTTCCTGTGACTCTAATTTTGGAAAAAGTCAAAATATAAAAGTGTTTCCAAGCTCTGATAATGCACGTCCTGCTGGAGACTGTTATGACAACAAGGCTTAGCTGAATAACTCACACACATTCCCAACTCAGTGAAACACTATTCTAAGTGGTCGAGACACGTCTTGAGCAGAGAAAAGCTTTAAGGAACTCTGCACAAACACACCTGTTGGACTGCAGCAGGAGTTCGTACACGGGCCACACGAGGCCTACAGAGTCTGCTACCCTAATCAACCTCCATCATTCCAGCAGAAATGAATATCCTCATCCTGTTGCATCCATTAAAGCGGGACAACTGTGAGAAGCTCCCCTGAACTTGACCCAGACCCGAGTAAAACAATGCAGGCAGGAAGAGGCCGAGCTGGAAGCAGCTGGTCGAACAGGTCCGAGGCTCAAGTCGTGATTTTAGGCCAGAATTCTCAGAAAATCAGACACAGCACGTAGACAGTTTTCTGGTCAGTGTGAAACATGTGACTTCTGTCTCCACGGCCCGGAGCTGAAATGGATTTACTGCTGTGGAGATTGAATGTTCCTCTTTATGCACTTTATTAAATCTTTGAGTCCCACCAAACAGACTGGCTGGATAGAAGCTACCATTCTGAGCCACTGAGCTGCTACAGAGTGAATTATGTTTGGCTAAAACTTTACCTGGATTATAATAAACATGCTGCCAGGAAATGACTTCACCACATTAATATTTCATTTAAGCGTCTGCAGCTGTGTGTCTGCAGTGACCTTGAAACCTCAGAGCCTCTTACAGGTCTCGTATCTGCTGCCTCTTCTTGTGTACTCAGATAAAACTTCCCTCGTGTCTATACCAGGCCGTGCATTTCACCGATTGATGCATTTTTAACTGACCTATTTCTTTCCGCTGAGGACTGATCCTTAACCCCATTCTACAGAGCTGAGCTTCAAATTACCCTTATCCCAGTACTCCAGGGCTTTTTGGCTATTACACTTGTGGAATGTTCTCACTGACAACCAAAATGGAAAGTACACTCCAGTTTGCATCTTTTCCGAGCTCAAGGATTAATTCCGTGGTGCTTTTTGCCGACGTAAGGCTTTTGGTAGTTCTCTCTACTTGTGCAAACTGGTGCGAGGCTCAGAGCACAGTGAATGCTAGCACGTGAATCCAAACCTCCCTGGAAATATGGAAAATAAGCTAGCTGAGAGACACGTTAGATTGGCTTACTGGGTGGGTTGTTCCTCCGATGAGCGTGAGGGTCGTCAGGTTCTGCAAAGATGCTGGAGGCCATCTTGTTCTTGCGCTGGGGGGTTGTGTTGTCATCTGTGCCAAAGGAGAAGCTGGTTTCCCCACCTGGCGGTCGTAGTACCCTAAAGACGAAAAGATTGTAGTGTCAGCTGATGGACGCTCCCATCCCCCTACTTTAACCTAAAACACAAGGCCTTCACGTCACACACCACCGATCAGCTGCACAGGGCAAAGAAAAATCAATAGTCAAATAAAACATGAGGGCCCTGGAGCTACTCGCAGTCTTCTCCCTGCTCCACCCAAACCCTTTCATACCACACTCTGAAACACCAGCAAGGTCTGCGCCGTCTGAGCCCCGGCTGTCAGCCTGTCAGACAGACAGTCACAATCTCTGCCCTGCAGCTGACTCCAGTCGCATACAATCACAGAGTGAACGGAGAGCTGCTGCCTCTCCTCAGCACAGATTCCTTTGCAGTGACACACGAGGGGTCGGTGTCCATTTCTGCTGCAACTGAAATCCTGTTGCTGGATGAGTAAATCAAATCTGACGCACATTTTGGGTGGATAATACACAACAGAGGTGAAAGGTCTGAGGTCCACGGCTAATGTAGGTCATGGAACATTCAGACGGGTTCAGAGCAGCATGCAGACCAGCACATGGCAGACAAAGCCCACTTTCTGCCGACATTCCTTCCACCACAGGCTGAACAAAAGGAACACAATAATTAGCAGGGAAGCCCTTTTCCTTGCCGTGCTGAAGGGCAGCAGGGTGGACGGCAGACACCAGAGCCCCTTCTGGACCCCTCCCTCTTTTTTCCAGCAAACTCTGGTCTCCTCGGAGTCCCTGAAGCCACCAGCTGACACGCCGAGCAGCTGTCCAGGGCCAGGCGGGCAGATGGGAGGCCAACAAACAACTCTGCTCTTGAACTACAAAGAAGGCAGCCAGAGGAGGAAAATCCACACCGCGTGGACGCCATCGGTGTGGATTTTCTGTCCATTCTCGTACACTCACTGCTGTCCGGCACACTTGGCCTGACAGTAATGCCTAAACCAGACTTCACCTCCCACCAGAGAGGATGAGCTCATGCTTTCCACACGGTTTGCTACGGAGAAAAGCTTTTAGCCTCCTGGCAGCAGACCCCACCCTGCAGTCACACTGCAAATAATATCAATGAAATGGCCAAACTGATTGGAAGCTCTTGGAGGCAGACAGCCGAGCCCCAGCAGACAGCAGGGCTGGTCTGGAGGCCAGGCTGAGGAGGCCTCCACGGCCTACCAAGACTCCGGCCGGACTCTGCTCAAGTTTCTGCTCCCTGGGTGTGCTCGGTCGGCCAGCAGCACAAATGACCAGCAGCTCATAAATGGGGCTTTAAGGAGCAAAAGCAAAGAGCTAAGAAAGATTTACAGGCTTAGAGAGCTCAAAGCCCCCATCAAGCCCCGGCATCACCCAGCACAGCCTGATGACTGCTCACAGCTCCAGTTCCCCCAAATCACAGCAGATTCCTGAGGCAGCCATGATCTGGAGCCTGTCTTCACTGCAGAGGGGGAGCAATGCGTCCAGACGGTACCAGGAAAGGAAGGACTGCGTTCCTGGAGGATGAGTCTGGAGCTGATTTTCCATCAAAGTTTCTAAAGATTAAACACCTCAGCGTGGATTATATCAAATAATCCCACACCACACGACTTCCTCTCAACTTCTATGGGCCAAACCCAACAATGAAAGGAGAGATAATGACATATGCAGATCCAGTCTGGGGTCTTCCTGTGACCAGAACCAGCCTCGTGTTGGTTCCAGCAGCTCCAGTCTGAGTTCACAGAGACCCGGAGCCTCAGCAGCACGTTACAGCCACAGCTGGGCTCAACCAGCAAAAAGTTGGTTCATGGTCGACAGAAGGAGGCAAAAAGCTGCCGTTTGTCCACTCGGCCCGAACAACAGAACCACACGGATGTGATCCGGTCTGGCACTACTTCGGTCTTGTGTCGTCCTGGAGCCAGCCGAGCTAGCCCCGGGTTAGCCGCCAACAAGATTAACTTAATTAGCGAGACTATGAGACAGTTAGCTAAAGCCCCCAGGATCCCCCGGCAGCCGGTACCGGGAGGCCAGCCGGACCGAACCGAAGCAGAGGCGGCTGCTAGCTCCGAGGCTCGCCGCATCCACTTCTTTTGTTCCTCCGCGGAGCGCCGCCGCCGTTACCTGGAGCTGCTCTTGGCTCCGGGGTCCATTCCTTGGTAGGTGGTGGTCGTCGTCATGTCGTCGGAGCGGCTCGCTGCTTCCTGGCCGGTACAAAAAAAACTAGTAAAAAATCCTCCTCCGGGACCGCAGGGATGCGACGGGATGTAGACTCCACCCGACACTGAAAAACATAACCGAGACCAGATCCGCTGGTTCTGCGGTGCCAGCCCATTAGACCCAGCCCACCAGCACTCGGCCCGCTCTGATTGGACGGAACGCCGCAGAACTCCGCTTTGATTGGACGGAACCTCAGCGATCGAATCTCTTGTTGGTGGCAGGTCTCGGATTCGTGTGAGCGGAGCCCACGTCCCCTGGGCCTGTTTCTGCCATTTAGTCAAATACAGTCGATTGGGACGATCAGGCTGCCAGTGACAACCGGAAGATCCCGGTACCGAAACTCCAGTCAGGAAAATTCACTCATTATTGTCATAGTTCTACAAATTTATTGTATACTGTGGAATAATATTGGAAACAAAATTAGTGAAAGTTTGGAAAAAAGACAATAGCTTTATTTGACAGGCATCTTAGACAATACAGATGTTTGTTTTACTGAAACATCTCTTCAGGCTTCCCAGAATTTGAAGTGGCCTCGTAAAATGATTAATCAAAACATTTTTTTCTACACATCCACTACGATATAAAAAAATGTATAAAATCAAATATTGTTTTCTGAAGTGAACAGAAACCAAATGAAAACCCAGCCCCATTCCCAAACTGGGTTCACCACGTGACAGCCAGTTGAACAAACGTAGACCTTAAGAACAGAATTGCTGGACACTGACCAAGACAAGCTCATCAATATGTGATCAACAAAGTCAGTTAATTATTTCTCACTCTATCACCAGTCCTAACCATCTGCGTCTCCAGAACAAACCCTTCAAACGGGGAAGGGAAGTCCTCCACATCTACCACGATACAGCATGATCAAACAAAAACCTGAACTCAGGGATGATGTGGATGTGGTTTATGTACAAAGACAGAAAAGTAACAGGGGCGAGAATGAAAATACTATACAGCAGTTAGGCGTGGCAGAGAAACGAAAACTTCTTCTGCAGGAGTTCTGTTGAGAGAGTTGTGAAGCAGCAGCCGCCGTGTGTCGCCGGCCGGTGGGTCGGTTGTGTTGAGGAGGGAACTGGTGGCGCGTTGGTTAAATCAGGCCTCCCGTCTGTTGTTGAAACACATCGATCGTATCTTCATCTTCCATTTCCAACTGGAAAGAGAGAAAAACAGCTTTGAAATACTCACCTGCAGTTTGTGTGCAAGTGATGAGGAACATGTAGAGAAGGAGAGAGGAAAGAGCAGATGTGCAGGTACATGTCTGAGCTCCAAGGCGATGCCCTCTGCAAACCACGGTGACGTTGTGTTTGGCTGTGATGAGGGCAGCGGCACAGAAAGGCTGGCTTAGCATTATAGAACATGCCAGGTGTGGCCACTCCAACCACAGACTACAGCGTAATGAATCTGTCTCCTCGGACGTACTCAACACACCTATTCAAATGTAGTTTAGCAGCTCTGACAGCCTGAGGCCATGTCAGCACGTCCTCAGTGATGACTTCTAGAGACTTGATGTGTGGCAGGGTTCAGCCTAAACACATTGTAATGTCCTGACTGATCGAGGTGTTTCAACCCTAACCCATAAAAAGCAAAAGCTGTTTTTGATTTAAATCTGGCTGCTCGCTCCCACACTGCTCCTGCCTCATTCTGATGCTCCCTCGACATTTTGACCACTTGCAGGTGTGCATGCGACACTACAGACCTTAAACTTCTGCAGAGAGCAAATGTCAGACTTTGTGTCAACTGACCGACCTGGTTGAGGATCACCACTGGTGACACGAGTTCAGTCTGTGGCCCAGACCCAGAAACCAGACAGCAGTGTTCAGTGGAGGAGAAGAGCCTGTTTGCTGGCACTAATGGGGCTTTGCATCATGAATTAGTCCCACAGGGTCAGACTGTCAACACTGAGTTCTGCTTTAACATCCTGAAGCGTCTGAGGGACATCATCTGGTGCAAATGACCCAAACACACGTCCAATCACAGGGCATTTGAAACATGGGTTTTTTTTTTTGGACGAACCAACACAGCTGTTGCCCTCTACTCTTGCTACTCTCTAGACTTGGCTCCCAGTGACTTGTTCCCTTCCCCAGAATTAAATTCAAGTTGAAGGGTCACTGTTTTGACCCAGTGGAGGAGATCCATTCCATGCGGTGTTTGATGCAATGCCCCGTCGACGTCCAGAGCTCCTGGTGTGGCAGGAGCACTGGCAGCAGGGTGTCGCGGCACAAGGTGACTCCGTCCAAAGGGATTTAAACCAGGTTTGTTTTTGCTTTTGATAGCCGCTTCCCAAAAATGTTTTGACTGCATCCCGTAAGTCCTGTAATTATCAATACTCCCTGGGACACAGATTAGATTTGACTTGTGTGTTCATTATAACTGCTTCAGTTCTGACATGTGTTTGATGTGATCCAGAGAGGAAACAAAGGAAGAACAGAAACCACATCTTACTGGTTAGCATGTCATTAACACATCTTCTGTATGAACAAAGAACTTGGAGTGCATTCAGCATGTTCAAGGGCAACAGGGTGTCCAGTCTGTAAGCAAACTTCTGCTTTAAAGCAGCTGAACTCGTTGCTTGGAGCCTTCAGACTTACCTGTGCTGGTGTGTCTGTCTCATTTATAGGCTGTCCGTCAAATCTGAATCTGATTTGCCTCATCGACAGTCCCTGGAAAGACAAGCACATGCAAACTTCCTGTCAGTCAAATCCGAGCACAAATACTCACATTGGCCTCATCGGGTCAATGCACACACTCAGAACCAACACCTCGCAGTCCAACACCAGGAATTAAGGACAGTTTGCACAATAAGAGATTCTCCTGCTGTGTCAGTCTAACAGTGAGCCCTCTAAACCTGTCTGATGTGAAACACAAAGGACTTCACCATGAACAACATCCACTCATAGCTGGTGGGTCTTAAAGGAGGAAACACTACAAGTGTCACAGCTAAAAGATCTACTTATTACAAAACACTTTACATTCAGAAACAATGAAAACACACGCAAGAACAATAAAATCATGGTATTGTGGGTAACAAAGAAAAAGTGACTTGATTCATTCATGATTATTTTTAAAGTCAGTCTTTAGTTGGGATTTTTGGGCATCTTTTTTTTTTAGTTGTTTATGACCAAATTCAGCAAAGGCAGAGGTTTTAATGGAAACAATCATCTAAAATCCAAGAAAGGACAAAAAAGTAACAAAAAACAAACCATGTATTGCTTTGTTCAGGATAAAGCTACTGAAGTATGAGGGCGAAGAAAAACAACGTGTCTTCCACTGAAACATGCATGAAGGACCGATGAAAACATCTGTACTTGTAGAAATGAACTGCATGTCTCGTGTGTTCTCCTCCCCGTTGGTAATCCAAGAAACAGACAACATTGTGTTTTAATTCTAGTCTTCCACAGAACTGAAGCCTAATTTGACTTTCAAATCAAGAGAAATGTCAGACACTGTTCCATGTTGTCACTCCTCCAGTGACGTGAATTAAACCTTCAGAAGCACTTTTTAAACATTGTGACTGCAGTTTAATCAGTAGAGACTGAACTGTTAACTCATTAGAGTACGTCACAGGAAGAGGTCAACATTCCTGCATGACATTACCGCGAGTAGCCGGGTTTAAAGAGCAACCGCACAAATGGTTTAGTTCATGACTGCAGAAGGAAAAGATTAATGTCATTACTGATTAATGTGGAATCACAGATGTAGATAGGGAGGCTGATTCAGAGGATGCAACAGAGACATAAAGCCTGGAGCTACGCTGCTTAGATACTGAAGAAGATTTATATGGAGGCTGTGGCCCAAAACTGCAGGAGAAGAGCTGGATCACAGCCAGAGAGCTACAACTTTGTCAGGAAAAATAGGACTGAAAATATGATGAATGACTCTTTCATGAGGATCACCTGGCTTCTATTTTACGTTTGACCTTTTAGCATTCGGCACTGCCTTCAGATCCCTCGTATGAGACGTGTCTGTTGGATACGGTCGCAGTAGATCTGAACTTGTCCAACATAATCAACTGTGACTTAGCAGTAAAAATCTACAATCAAATAAAACCTTCATGTCAAATTCACTTCATGACCACACTGTCAACATGGCAAATGGGACTTTAAACTGTGCACACATAGCTGCTTACTTTTTATTTAGAACCAGAAAACAGATGCTGGAATTAACACTCCCTTGGTGCATGTGTGAAAGAACTGAAAATAATTAACTTTTATCATTGCCTTCGTTCTTCAAACAAGATTAAACATGTGTGTGCTTCAAAGCTGCTCCTCAGAAGCATCAATAATTATTTCCATATGATGTTGCAGCAATAAAACCGAGCAGCCCAGCTCCTTTAAGCCGTGCTCTACAAAGGGTATGCAACAGCCACAGTCACTGTTGTTTTTTTGACATATATTGAGGCCGACTTTGTTTTTGCTGCGCCAAAAATATTCCACGATAACGCCATTTTTAACAGCTGTATCCCTCCAATTTGGAAATAAACCTACAACGTTGTCCTGAACGCTCACGGCGACTCGGTGATGGTGTGTGATGCCATTCGGCCGGGCTCACCTGTCTCTCGCAGTAGGCCTTCATGAGTTTGATGAGCGGCGTGTGTCTTTTGATTTTGAACTGCACTACAGATCCATCCTGACCTGCCACCTTCAGGTTGATGTGTTCATTGTTTTCCGTCTTCACTCCTTCCTGGGGGAAGAGAGAAAACCTTAATCAACTCAGACGTGCAGGAATCAGAGCTGGAAATATCCTTCATGAGTCAGCTGATCGAACAATTTCATCCTGTTAAAGATAAAAGCTGCACCTTTAGGCACCGAAATGCACTTTTTGCAACTTTACAGATGAAAAAGTTGCACATGCTGTGCACTAGTTATGTGTAATAAGCTGCTGCTGCTGCTGATGTTACAGGATTTAGTTTTTAAAGTGATGACATAAAGACTCCACTGGTTCAGAAACTGTAGTGTGTATCTGTGTGCAAAATGAATATTAACAGACTTTTAAAGCTTCTCTGGGCCACAGCTGTCCTTTGTTGACATTCTGCTTCAAGCCACACATCAGAACACAGATGATGCAGATGAACAGAACCGCTGCAGCTCAGAAACCATCCAGCAGCTCTGACACCATCCAGCAGCTCTCACCCGAACCCTGCTGGACGCACCGACCGACCGAGCGACCGGCCGGCCGGCTGCACACATGAACACACGGGCTGCATGTGTCAGTCACACCGAGGCGCTCCGGGACGACTCCAGCTGGTTGGCTGCGTGAGCTCAGGCAGAACGCGATCTGCGCGCCTGTGGATGCGCGTTCACAAACCTTCCGGTCTATCAAAGTAGGTATAGCTAGTAGTTGAATTTTAGCTCGCAACTTTACAAAAAGGTGAAGCAGGACATGCAGAAAAGCCCTGTCCCCCCCGAGCCCCGGTGCCGCAGCCCCGGGCGGCGCGCAGGTCTCCTGGTCACTGAGGAAACACTCACCTTTGGTTTTTCATCAGCCATGGTCACTCTTTTGGCGCTTCTCTACACTGCCACACAAAGACTACGAGTGCGCGCACGTACTCGTTCCCGTTTAAATAATTTGAACCCAACGTGCGCGGCCACGCGTCCGTGCGCGTCCACCTGGATGGGCGTTGAATGGCCACAAGTGGTCACGAGGGTGAAAGCGCAGTCTAGGCATGGGCGGGAGAGTCCCAATGCGCGCGAAAGAGGCACTCTGCTGCACATGCACGCGCACAGCGATGTTTGCCTTTTGTTTCCAGGTTTAGAGGAACATGTATCCCATAATATGCAGACCACCAGCCTGCAGACCGTTCAGCATCGTAGCTCGGTCCGGTCAGCATCACCGGACGGGACACAACCTGCACCGGGAACGCGATATGCGCACTTTTAGGGTTTCCTTTCATTTTAACCCTTTAAACCCCAGCAGCCATCTTGTTTTTCTGTGTGGTGGTAAATAAGCACTAAACTACAGGAGTACTTCTCCACACACAAACAGTTTGGCAGCAGAACTCATATCCGCTCGGACTGTGGACCGGTTCCACAGACAGTATTTGTATGACTGGCTTATACGTTGACTACAGACAAAGACTATTTCCGTATTTTGGTAACTTCTTCTTCTTTTATTCGGTGAAACGGATTCGCTTTGGACCCATCGCTTATCTCTGTTATCTAGCTGCATGTCGCGCCAAAAAGCAAAACACATACTGAAGCTCCAAGCAGAGCCGATGGAAAAACAGGCGACATGAAGGGCAGCCCTTGTGTGACGTCTTCACACATGCGCCCACGGGGTCCTTCGACTGAAAGACTGAGGCGCGTAAGCGGCACCGTCCCGCACCTGTGGTCCATGGCATGTTTATAGCTGCATAGTTGAGAATTTTTGATTTTATTGTATCGATAATAACGTGTTGTGATGGAGGAGGTGGACGTTGAGCCGGCAGTTACTGTGAGTGACCCCTGTAGCTCTTTTTTTTCTTCTTTTTTTACTGTCGCCTAGCATTGCTAATAAGCTAACTTTATCGCAGCAACGCTTTTTGATCACTAAGTTGAAAAAATTACACATTATTCAGCAGCCGTTTCTTACAAAGATTTGTTGTTGTTGTTAGGGGACACATTGTGGGCTTAGCTCGACCCAGAAATCTGTAGATTAACCTGATAATTGCACCATTTCAGAGTAAAATGAATGTAATGTGAGGCGCTGCTCCAATAAGATCACCGCTCTCTTTCTGTGCTCAGCCCCCGTTCCGCTTTAACATCACAGTGACTGTAGGCTTGCTCAACCAGCGGTTCACAAACGTTGTTCCCTGAAGTCAGTCTCATTCATTATGATTTACACATTTATAATCATATGTAAAGGTATGTCAGAAACTGTTTTGGGTGTCTGCACCTTGAAACAGTCCAGAAACGAGATTCGAGATCTGTTGAGGGAAAAGTTGACCCGTAATGTCCCATAACCCGGTTCCCTAAATGAATAACTAGTAATAATTGTTGAAGAAATTTTACCCATAGTCCTCATTTGAAGTTTGCTGTTGAGGGTGTTTGCTAGTATTCCGGTATACGGTGGACTCACCAACACAGAGCATGAGTCTGTGATGGTAAACCGACCCTGAACATTTGCAGAGTCACACATTTATAGGGTAAGTCAGAGGGTAGGGAGGGCCTGTATGTAAATACAGAAGCGAATAGTGGTTAGTGAACGTATAGTTGCTAATCAAATGGCAGGAAGTAAGGGGACAATGAACAACAGGGGGTGGAATCAGGGGTCTGTGACCATCAAAAGAAAAGAGAATGACTTTCTTAATCATCATCAAAATAAAAGAATGTCTTTCTTCATGAATCATGTCGCTGATAAAAACACCTACTTATGTTTAACATAATGCCGACGGATCTGATTACAGCAGCCTTCAATAAAATGTCTTTTCATTGCTGCTCGGCTGCCTGTTGCCATATTATTCAAGTTACTTTCATGATTACAGAGGTCATGTTTTATAGCATTGGAAATAATTATTAGACCGTCTGCTGTTTTCTTCATAAAGTCTACACAACAGGCTTATAACACTGATCATTTCGTTTGAATTCTAACAGCAGTTAAATGTTTAGAGCATCTTCTAAAAAAACATTGAAAACTTAAAATAATAATTCTCATACAGTAAATTTTCTTTAAAAACTTATCCACTGACTAAAACACACACACAATAAAAGCTTTGTACGTCTTCAGACATATCAAAAGTGTCACAGTCCACGAACACAATAAATACAAAAAGGCGAGTTAGCAAATGTGCTAGCTTTAATATTTATTAAAGTAATGGTCTGTTTAAAGTATCGGCATGGGAATGTATTCTTTAAGTTAATAAAAAGTTGGAAGTTTGGCAAGAGTTTTAATTACAAGTTATTAAAATTAGACAAATGTCTGAGTGACAAATCTGTCAACGTGTTTATGTCGGACATTGAGTCGACACGTCACACGTTCATGCTGCTCCTCTTTATATGCAGAAAATTCCTGCTGTCAGTGATGGGAAGCATATGGGATTTGCATGGGGTCCAGGTGATATCCTTGTATATGAGACCCTACACAAAGCGTCAGGTATGTCTCCATATGAATACAGCCCCCTTTGTCACACTTTATGGCTTTCTGCCTCCACCTCTTTTCTTACCATCTTCTGATCTCTGTTTCAGGTGCCTCGGGATCAGGCTGCTCCTTTATCCATGAGGTCAGGAAGGATGAGGACATATATTCCCCCATTTTACGCAAACTCTTTAATGAGTCACATCACATCTTTGTTGGCCTGCAGACGATTAGAGAAGACCTCCCCAGCAAGAGCAGAAAGCCCCAGTAAGGCCACATGACAGGGTCTTCTCTTCCTGTGCAGCGTGTCACTGTGTAGATAAACAAAATGATTCTATCTTGTACAATCTTAGATTTATCTCTGTCTTCTTCCTCAGATTTGTCAGCATCAGTAAAAACTATAGATCAGTGATCCGTGCTTGTATGGAGGAGCTTCAGCAAGTTGCAGGTCAGAAGTTTGATATGTAGTTTTGGTATTTTAGACTTCAGTGAGTGGTGACTCGAGGCTAATCAAATGATCCCTTTTGTCTTTTCTGCAGTCTCTACAAGAGATGGAGAAGTTGCCACACAGTATGGAAATCAGGCATGTACTACTACTGTGTGTGTGTCTGTGCCACAACATGAGGAGAAAAAAAGACTTATGGACATAGACAGCCCCATGTGCATATTACATTCTGAGTAGCAGCAATAATTCTGTATTAACGGTATTTACTGTGTTGTGATGTGGTATGATTTATGAAAACAAAAAAGCATCTGTATTTACTGCTACAGGAAGTATTACACGTTTTTTTATTTAGTGCCAGTCTGCTTTGTTTCGTCCCAGGTCTCCATTCTGTTGGCCATAGAACTGATCTGGAATCTGTGCGAAGTGCTGTTCATCGATGCTGCTCCTGGTGAGAGTCTGACGTTGTGGTTAATTTCCTCTCTATGTGCTGCTTTTTATAACTTGCTTTTTGGGTTTAACAAATCTGTGTTGTGTGCATCTTCAGCGGGCTCCCTGCTGCTCCACCTCCTGGACTGGGTGAGGTTACACAAGGCTGATGTGGATGAAAAGGCCAGAGAGGTTCTGCAAAGTGACAGCCCTGCTGAGCACCGGGACTTCTGGGATGTGGTGGGTGCAGCACATGCACACAGTTATATCTTTCGATCTGAGGTGGTGATTTTTTATGGCAGGTGGTTGGAGACCATCAGACTGCCCTCTTTGTGTTATGTCCGAGGGCTGCAGGTGTCTCGGTGGTTAGCACCGCCACCTCGCACCTAGAAGGTCGCCGGTTGGCGTCCTGGTGAGGACACCCAGCATCTTTCTGCGTCCAGGGATGTCTTACACTAAGTGCAGGTCTGATTTATCCCGCTTTGTGTCTTTGCTGTGCAGGTGGTGAGTTATGTGCTGCAGGGCAGGTTGGAAGAAGCCCGTCAGATGCTGGCGAAACAGGCCACCCTCCAGCCTGCTGCCAGGAGCATGTACAAACTGATGGACACGTTGCTCAGCAAGATGCCCTTCTATAATGTAAGATCACTTTTCAGTGTTACTATGACTGATAGCTGGAGTTATTTCATGGTTTAATCTCAATGAGAAAGTAGAAATTTTACTGTCAATACTGACTTCCTCCAAGCGAAGACATATGAGACAGGAAAACATGCTTCTGCCACAGAGCCCATTGTCTTGTTAAAGGGGAATTGTATAGAGATTAGTAGAAATAATGGCAGCAACAGATGTGGAATGATTCATTTGAGCCAAGGATGGCATCCAAATCCCCGGCTATGAATAACCTAATAGTCTATTAAGATGCCTTATTGGCTAACACCAACATATGTAAAGTGGCTAATGTTCCCATGAAGATGTCGTCACCAGTAGCTTGTGAAGGAGAGCCATGTACAAAGCTTTCCAACTCAAGTTCCTGACTGGCAAGAGAGGCAAACAGAAAAGGAAAAGCGTCTGTCTCTTCCTCCAGCATAGAGATTGTCTTCCACAGTGTAAACAGAATATCAGCCCGTCCACTGACCGATGCTGACTCTGACCTGTTGATTGTCCCTCAGCCTGGCGGCACTCAGACGCTGACAGAGTTCGATGTGAAGTGGAGGCACTGGCACGAGGAGGTGGATCGCTGCCTGCAGGACAACTCATTCGCCAGCAACAGACACCTGGAGATCATCTGCAAGGTCCGTGACCCTTTGCCGTCCTTGTGCTTTTCTGTTGTCCACCGACTTTCTGCAGAGTGTGTGTAAAATAACACCTTAGTGATGTGTAGTTTACGGTGCGTGCTGTGGGCTGTTCTGGGCTGCTGTGGGAGACGTCCACAGGTTTGTGCTCCAGTGCTCAGTGCAGAGTTTTGATCACCTCAACTGTAAAGCCAACATTTACGCGTTTCACTTCAACTGTAGGTCCTACTGGGGGATGAAGACACTCTGCTGGAACACAAGGAACTCCTGGGCACCTGGTACCACTTTCTTGTCACCAGACTGCTCTTCTGCCACCCCACAGTGAAGCCCACAGAGCTACACTACTATGCACAGGTACT